GGGCAGCTGCTTTTCTGGCAGGGGCATGGGTGCCAGGTACAACGCGGAGAGCTGGGCCGAGCATGCCGAGAGCCGGGGGCCCGCCGCCGGCCGGGATTCCGTCTCTCTTCTTTCTCTGTATATATATCGAGTCCCTCTCTCCATGTATTTAACTGTGGGTACACGTGCGTGTGTCTGTGCGGTGTACGTGTGGTGTGCATGTGTGCGTGTGTGCTCGAGCGGTGGAGGAGTGTGCGCCCGGGAAGTGGCAGCCCCCCAGGGCCCTTGTTTGTTTCGTGACTTCGTACCTCCCAAGCCCCTACTTCTTCACTCAACGATGGCACTTTGACGGGGTGGGAAACAAAGTCAGACATTAAAGATCCTTTCTCCTGTGTGGGCCTTGTGTAGTTTGTGGGCAGGGTGGGTGGCAGGGAGGCTCTGCGCTAATCCCAGGCCAGGTCTTCCCCCTGGTCTGCGGGCAGTAATGGTCCCCTTGGCTCTACCTCTGCCTTTGCCATTGCTGTTCGCTAGAGCTAAATAATCTGACCCCCTGGGCCTGCCCCATAAATCCTGCTTCCTGCTTTGCATTTTTGGCAGTGTCTAAGTCCTCGCCCTTCTGCCTCTTCCTGTTGTGACAATTAGGCTATGTCTGGCCTAGCACTGATCCCTAGGGCTCGGCTCCTAGCTGGAGCTCTCAGGCCAGTACCCTAGATAGGGCAGCCCCTCTGGAGGACCCAGGCAACGCAGGACTAGGTTACTTTCCCTCCTCTCTGTGGTTTGCCTGTGCCCACGGAGCCTGGAAAGAAATCCAGACTAAGAGTCTCTGGGTAAGAAACACACAGGTGCAAAAGCCCTGGACCTCTGCTAACTTGTGACTCTGCCTGAGAAAAAAGCACTGAGGAAGCTGAACAGTGGGGTGGAGAACATCTCAGAAGAGAACCTGCTTCTTTTTTTTTTTTGTACCGGGGATTGAACTCAGGTCCTTGGGTTTGCAAGTCAGGCCACCGAACCGCTGAGCTAAATCCCCGGCAAGAACCTGCTTCTGGTCTCAGCCCTGACACTCATCTGCCATGTAACCAGAAGACAGTGATACCCCCTCCTGGATCTGTTTCCTGTCTGTGTAATTATGGAGTTGAGTCTAAGGTTTTCTCCACATCTAAAAGCCCCAGGTTGGAGAAAGGATGAAGAGCAAAACAAAAAATGTTTTCTTCTGTGACTCGGAAGCATAGAAAGAATTTCCCTCCCCGTCCTTATTTTGCTTTCTAAGATGAACTGCACATTTTTTCAAATGACAAAAGCCTCTCCCAGTAACAGCTATATCAGTCATTCATTCTGAAAGTGGACTGAAACAAAACACTTAAAAGGAGGAAAGCCAGGAGCTCATGTAGCTGAAATGCCTCAGGATATCTGATATGGCTGGATCTGGGGCTATAAAACCATGTCTGCTTACTTGGTCTTTGACTCTCATCTACCTTGTATCTTTTAGCTCTATCTTTATATATCACCTTTGTTTTCTTTTTGGAATTAGATTCATCACGCCTTTTTTTTTTTTTTTTTTTTTTTTTTTTGAGACAGTGTCACTCTGTAGCTCAGGCTGGCATTGAACTCTCTGCAATCCTCCTGCCTCAGCCTTCCAAGAGCTGGGATTACAGGTGTACACCACCGTGCCTGGCCTTCATATCATTCTAACAACTGATGTCCCCCAAAAGGAAAAATAGAACTATGCAATTCTGTCACAAAAATGGAAAAAAAAAAAAAGTCCAGGGAAACAAAAGAATGTACTTCACAGACCCTGTTTTAAGTGGTGCTGAAAGCTGTACATATTCCTTTCAGAAACATACACATGAGGGAACTGGGTCCTGTGCTGGATCTTTAAGGCCTGCTATCTGCCGAAAAGATGGCAGGCCCTCAGTTACCTGTTTCAGCATATTGATGAAAACCAGCACCACTCCATTATGAAACTTGCAATACGGGTGTCCATCCAGAGTGTGTCGGCCTGGCCCAGGGAGAGAGGTGAGGTCAGAAGGTGTGGGAGATTGCTGCCCCAGGTGTCCAGCAGCAGGGAGGCTCAGTGGAACTGGTGGACACTGGGAAACAAAAGCTTCCTGGTAGCTCAGTTACATCTTCCATTTTGGGGCGCAAACTGGGCTGAGATCTGGAGAAGGAGATGGCCCTGGAGGACAGCTGGGATAGGAAGCCCTTCCTTTTGGTGGGGCAAGAAAGCAGGTCATATGGGACGGGTTCAAGTGATGATGGGGGCCAGTGGCTGGCGGCATGAATGCCCTAGAAGCAAATCAAAAGACTGGTCAGGAGAGGGTGGGGATTTAGCTCAGTGGTTCCACCACCTGCCTTGCAAGTACAAGGTCCTGAGTTCAATGCCCATCTACCAAAAAAAAAGAAGACATAAGGGTCTGGGGTTACAGCTCAGGGACAGAGCACTTGCCTAATATGTGGGAGGCCCTGGAATTGATCTACAGCTTCACAAAATGGAGGGCTAAGCTCATCACAGAGTAAAAGAATCTTGTATCCTACAATGTACAAAGAGGAGATCAGCCCAAAAGAAAAGTAAACATGAAATTTAATAAAAGTTATAGAGCATTCCAGATGACAATACCAAGATGCATCTTTAGGCACCTGGGTTCAGGTCCCAGCTCTCCTGTCTAGGCCATGCACATAACCCCTTGCAGCTGATCACCATGCACTTAAACTGATGACATGGCTAGCACTGACCTCCCAAGATTGGAATGAGAAATAAATAAGACAAGGTATGAAAGAGTCAGCACAGAGCAGGCACTGCTGTTTATTAATTGAGGGGCCTTCTATGTCCTTCATCTCAGCGGTTCTTAACTTTTCCTGTCTCAGTAGCTCCTTTAAGTGTTGGAAGAAAGCTGAAGAAAAATGACCATAGCAAGCTTAAGATTCCCCTACAATTCATGCCCCGCAAATATACCAGTGGATACATGGAACCCAAGTTAGAAACTTCTCAACAAATCTAATGCCACTGATAAACAAAAGTGGCACAATGCAGAGAGGACTCACACAAGGGATAAATCGAGCCCCGTGTTAGATGGGCAAAGACGACACAGAATGAGACCGAGACCCAGCCCTGAAGACCTGACCCTGCCTGAGAGGTCAGCAGGTCTGAGAGCGGCCCCAGGCAGATGTGTTCCAGGAGTGAGATGGTCCTCCACCGCCCTCACTTGGTGAGAATCCCTTCATCAAAGCTCCATCTTCTCTTGGGGGAGAATTTACACTTTTTCACAGTTTTCCCATCTTACACCTCCACTTGCCTTTTGAAACTTAGCAGCCAAGAACGTGGTGCTTTTTTGTTCGGCTTCCCCTGGACAACTTTCTCTGTGAGCACTGTGTGGCTTACCTGTGGCTGGCTTGGCTGGAGTCAGAGCCTCATTGTATGAGTTCATTCAGGGTGGTGTGCCCTCCCTCTTAATACCTGCAGGTTTCACTTTTCTAGCCTATTAAATACACAGGCTAAGTGTTAAAACCATAATGACAGATAGAACTGGCTGAGACTCCTGGTTCTCCTAATGTACTAGTTGCATCTTCTTAGGCAAGTAGCTAACTGTGGGTCAGTTCTGATCTATAAAATGGAAGTGGTCCTGCTGGTCTTAGAGATTTACAATGGGGCTTGTAGCATGTTCAGTATGGTACTTGGCACCTGGTCATTTTTCTGTAAGTGGCAGCTGTTATTACTAAGTCCCTTTGGAGGTATACAAATAAAGGGCCCTGGGATTCAAAAGTTTGTGACCATCTGCCTAGAATCAGAAAAACTTCATGAAGGAAGTGGCATCTCAGCTGGATCTGAGAGGTGTGGCCAAGAAGTGCGCAAGAAACAGGATGAGGAGTTGGGTATGAGGAGGAAGAGGGGAAAACTGGGCTAGAAAAGGCGTCAGAGGCAGATGGAGGCACCACTAGAAACCAGGTCAGTATATGTGGAGCCACCTATGGGTTGTGGGTATTAAGAGGAAGGACAGCGGAGCTGTGTGTCACAGGGGCAGCTTGGCGACAAGAGAAGGGGAGATCCACAGAAGGAGGCACTCCAGATGCTCAAGGACGTGAGACTTGTAAGAGGTAACACGGGAGGTGCCCCAAGGAGTGGCCAAGCCGTTCCACATCCTACCTACCTAAGCAATAGGTGTGCTTCAACCCCAGCTTGCAAAGCACAGAACACAGCTAAAGAAAAGCCTCAGTAGAGTCTGATCATTAAGGACTTGAGTTTGAGGCTAGACAGAGATGAGTTCAAAGTCCTGTTTGGCTATTCAGCAGGCGTGTTGTCCCAAACAAGAAACTTAACATCCCAGAGCCTCAGTCTCCTTCCTGATGGGTAAAACTGC